CTTCCCATTCCCTGCCAAGTGCTGAAGGCAGGCCCAGGAAGGTAAAGCCTCTGGCCAGAACTGAAGGGGTTGCTGTGAGCAGATAGACTTCCTAAGCCTATGATGTCACCCGCACGGTGATGACTGGGGGGCTACTTGGGGCTCTAACTCTGGCACACGGGGCCAAAGACACCCTCTGAAAGAAGTCAAACCCACGGCCACCAAGCCTATTCTGACTCATGGTGACCCTTCAGGGCAGTTTCTGAGATTGTAATCCTTTTTTTTAATTGTAATTCTTTATGAATAGAAAGCTTCATCTTTCGGCCATGGAGTTGCTGATTTTGAACTGTTGACCCTGCAGTTAGCAGCCCAACACATAACAACTACACCACCAGGGCTCCAAAGGCAGTCCAGTGGGTGCTTAATGCATCAACCTCAAGGCTTCCGGTAGCACCCTGGCCCACCTGGTCAGGGAAATGGTGCCTGATAATCCACCTGCCTCTCCACCACTGGCTGTGTTCATGTACTGCAGCTGGTTTGCTGAGTTCAGGATGGCGGGGTAGGTACAAGCACACCAGGCCATTTGGTGCAGCAGTCACTGAATCACTTTATTGCTATACCTGACTCTTTCCTTACCAACTGTTAGCGGGTGTGCCAACATGGCACCTGTAAGAAGATATGGGTGGACTTTAGCCTGTCAATCAAGTTGCAGCTTGATGACCTCCTTTGGAGGTGCCGCTGAGATACATGGCTCTCTGGAGGATTCCCCACCCCACCCTAGCCCACCCCTGCCCCTACCGCCTTCAACTTTCTGCTAGCAGACCCTGATGGTGGCCAGAGCAAGCCCTGAAGATGCCTTCACTGCCGTTGGATCCATAAGACTTTGAACCCACCGGCCTGTTATCTTCCTGCAGTCTGCATCATTACTCTTGACTACTGAGTTAGAAGAGGTGCTTATGAACTAGCATCAGACCTAGGGGCTTAAGTTGGACTGGGCTGGGCTGTTTTCCTGATACAGCCTACTTTCTGATATAAAGTTCTTTCTTACACATGAATGTCACTGGATTTGCCATCCCAGCCAAACACACCAACCCGGGCACCATGGTGCCCACTTTTCTGGCAAGTGGCCCCTTTCTAGCTAGTGAGCTAGCATGTACACAACATCTGCTTCTTGGCTCCCTGATGGAGAAGAGCAGACTGGACTGCTACATGCAGAACAGGTCAGCATGCAAGCTTCCGGGGATCCCAGATGTACTGCAGCAGGGCTTCCCTATGTGTCACTGCTCCTGGCCCTTGGCCAGTGCAGTCACCCACAGGCTGCCTGCCACCCAGCTGTCTGTACAGAGGGTCGAGGGCCAGGGTCCGTGGGGGATTCATACAGGCTTTAATTCAGCTCATTGGCTCTTTGGTCTGAGCTCGGACTGTGTACCGGGTATCTACTGGCAAAGGGCCCTCCCCACACTCGGCAGAAAGGGAAGGTTGGTCTATGTCCAAGGACCATCTCAAGATGCAGCTCTTTGTGTGGGCACCCAGCGTTTCCACGCGTACAACCAAAACCCACTTCTTCAACGGCTTGCTCCTGTCCTTGGCCCCAGTCTCAAGCACTCTGCTCTTCCAGTTGGAAAAATGGCTTCTAGTACTAGGCCCACACCAGGAAAACAAACTCACTGTCACCAAGCCAATTCCAACTCAGAGGGGCCCTAGAGGGGCCCTGAAACTGCACCTCTGCTGCGGAAATAGGAAGTCTCCTTCTCCTGTGGAATGCCTGGTAGTTCGAACTATTGAACTTGCAGTTAGCAGCCAAATGCGTAACCACTACACTACCAGGGTCCGTTACTAAGCCAAGTGGAGTATAAATAACCACCAACCCCCCAAAAGACTCACCAAGAATTGCCCTTCTTCTGGCTTCCTAGGGATGGGGTAAGCCTGCAGGGAGCACATGGCTCCTACTGGACAAATGATTCCTAGGGGGTTTCGACACTCCCTTTCCCTGCACCAAGAGGGTGGAACTCATGGCCCACCTCTCCCTGCAGGTGGATGATTAGGGCCTATAGACCAGTGTTTCCCAAAGTAGGTGATACCACCCCTGGGGAGCACTGGAACATCTTCTGCATCCCCCCACACTAGATTATGAGCTCTAGTACAAGTTTTTAATTGCCAGCGGGGGGGCAGGGGGTGTATTTGAATTGTGGCAAAGAACAATAAAGTACCAGGGACTGCTAAAAGGACAAACCAATCTGTATTGGAAGAAGTAAGGTCAAAGTGCTCCTTAGAGGCAAAGATGGCAAGGCTTCGTCTTACACACTTTGGGAGAAGCCCGTCCCTGGAGAAGGGCATCATGTTTGGTACAGTGGTGGGGAGTGAAAAAGAGGGAGGCCCTCAAGGAGATGGATGGACACAGTGGCTGCAACAACGGGCTCAGGCAGGCATGGGAACGACTGGGAGGGTGACACAGGACTGTCAGGGCTGACTCAATGGCACCTAACAAGGGGGCACCTAAGAACATTTCCTTTCTGAAAAGGGGGCAGTAGGCCAAACACGTCTAGGAACCTGAGTAGACGCTTTCAACCTTTTAATCTTCACTTCTGTCTCAGATGGTCCAAAACGGAGTTCATGATCTCCCCCACTTCCTCTTCCTGTCAAAATAAGTACTATTTCTATGGCATCAGAGGATATACAGTAAAACTGTTAAGGTGGAGCCTGATCACCACGCTGACCTGGTGCTTACAGGTTTCTCCACTGTGAAGGTACAACCCCCACCCCTCACCACCTTCCATTGTGTACTAAGCCCAGCCCAGCCTACACTTAAAAGTGGAGGGTGGAACATTGCAGTGGGCAGGGAGTGGAGGCTGGGCACACAGCTAAACTTTCTCCATATTCTAGCTCCAAGTTCACTTGCCTCAGTTTCCTCTTTCACCTCCATTTCTGCACACCTAGCTGCTCACCCTGTGCTAAAACATCAGTAATGCGCCCCCCCCACCCACCCACCACCACTGTTGCCCACCCCCTTCTAACTGCAGCTCCTCTTACTGTACCTTTACTGGGCAGCAGTAAACAGGAAACCATCCAGAGGTGCCCAGGCCATAGCTGCTTCCACGCGCTGTCCACACTTAGCTACCACCACCTGGCACGCCTCTTATCTTTCCTAGGCATCTTCATATTCAAGCAACGGGGCCAGGAGTATACGTCAGACCTGCTCACCTGGAGATGGCTAGCCGCCAGGGGTCTCCCCAACAGATCAAATCGCCCAAGATCAGTGGCCCCTAAGTGTACCTCTAGCAGGTGCTTTTCCCTTATCAGCTATCTTTGATCTCCTGTCAATCAACTGCCTAGGCATGGACTAACCCCAAAACCACTGCCACGGCGTCAATGGACTCTTAAAGGGCCCTAACAGTATTTCCAAGACTGTAAATCTTTCTGGGACAAGCTCTCACCTGTTTCCTGTGGATGGGTTGCTGGGTTTGAAGCTGACCCTGTGGCTAGCAGTCCAACACCTAACCCACATCAACATCAGGTCTCCTCAGACACAGATCAGTCATCTTCAGTTTACCATAAGGTGTCAAGAGGCCCAAGGAGCATGGCAACGCTGCAGGCAAAGCCCTGGGGGCAAGGGGTGGGGGTGAGGCAGGCTTGGGGCCTCCACACCTCTACCCAAAGGGAAGCAGGGACTTTTTGTAGCTGACAAAACTGGCATGGTACCAGGGCCCCAGACCGACAAGGCTACTCTAGCAAGTGTTAGATAAAAATGACAACAGCCAGAGTAGTCATATTTGGCCTTACAAAAGCCTGGCCCCCTACAATGGCTAAGAGGAAGATACAACAGCGTGGCTCTAAGGAGCTCTAGCGGCACAACATGAAACGCTTAGCTGCTTATCAGAAGGTTGGTGTTTCCAGCCTACAAGGCAGCTCCACGCAGAGAATCGAGCCTGATAACCTGCCCCAGGAACTAACTAGTGGTTCTGCTCCACAGGGGTCACTGTGCCTCAGTCAACCCGATATAGCACTGCTCCACCTCACTTACAAAGCTTCTGAGTGGAAACGGAGGTCCTACGACCTCAAAACTCAAGTAGCCTGTATGAGTGTCACACAAGGGGTGATCCCACCTGAATGAAATTCTAGCATCAGATTTATTGAATACATAACTAGGTCTCCAGTGCACTCAATGAGCTATCTAGTTTCCCTGTAAGGAATCAGTTCTTTTTAGTTGAAGCTTCCTCTTTTACTTTTATAACATCTGTGTTATATGTAATGTATGTAAACACAAACACAAAATGATTTAGCTATGTACTAAAAAAAAGTTCTATTTGGATTCATGGCAACTTTATATATAAACCAAACCCAAATCACTGCAATCCAGTCAATTCCTAGTCATACTGATTCTATTGTTTCCTCAACGATCAGTCTTGGCAGGAGGTAGCTTTGACTTTCTGCCCCCAAATGGCTGGTGGTCTGGCACTGCCAACTTCATGGTTAGAAGCCCAGTCCTAACCCACAGTGGCCCCAGGGTTACTCACCTTATGTAGGTGTCTTTACCTAAGGCTCCCCCCTCTATGTACAAACCTAACATAGACATCCTCAGAACATGAAAAGTGGCAACATACCACACGCCGACTCATACCTATTTTAAAGCCACGTCTCCTAACGTTTTGTATGTTCTTATATGAATGTGCTACATTCAGCAGTCCCCTAACTTCTTGGCCATCTTTAAGATAAATCAAAGTGAAAATGTTGGGGAAAAACATTAATTTTAACAATTATCATCTTGCTTTCTACTACTCACCAACAGTATGAGTTTAACAAATTCAAAGTCTCATCAAATTGTGATCTTTGCCTATTTGATGGGTGAAAATATCTCACTGTAGTTTTTTCTAATAATGAAGCGTATTTCTGAAAACATGTGATCAAAAACCCTTTCAAAAAGTAGGTGAGAAGAGTAGAATTACGTTTTCCAAAGTAATGCTGGATTCTATTTGCACACTGAATATACCAAAGACTTTCCTAAAAATAACCAGATACATTAATATTCTCTGAAGAATTTATTACAAACTGTCGTAGGCCACAAGGAAAATAAAAAGGACTATGTACAGCCTTACAGGAAACAGGAAGAGATCTGAGGAGGACCAAGATGAGTCTAGGGCCTTGGTGGGCGCATTCCCGGCGGAGGGGGTCCTGTAAGGGAAAGCAGAAAATCCCGTGAGACTCCATCAACTACAGCTTAACAAACAAACAGGTCTGTGGTAACTTGGCCCTGGGGAACAGGGCCCACGCCTCTGTAGAGCTACTTCCATAACTGTGGCCAAGGGTCAAAGGAGGCCTGAAGTAAGAGTAAGAAGTTTAGTCAGAGCCTGATCTGGAACTTGGATGCCCAACCCTGCTCCCACCTCCCTCACCCCGGGGGCTTTATCAAGTGAGATGGATACAGTGTATGTGCTAGCCGGGTATTTTCCTAGGACTGACTGGGCTCCTATGTTTATAAAACCTGAACTAGAAGCAAAGGGGTCACCAGATTGGCTAATGGAGTATTTAGGAGTATATCTTAGACTGGACTGGGCATCAAGACACTGAACTCTGCTAAGACTATTTTCTCATCCAAAAAACAGGGGACTGATCTGCCAGAATTTCTCAAAGGGGAGTGAATCAGATTCACAAAACCAATAGTAAAACCAAATAGATAGCTATTTCTAGAGCCACCTCCTACAAGTGTCACATGATCAAACCAAAGAGCATGAGGCAATTCTATCACCTTTCTTGGGGACCCTTCCCAATGCCCTGTGCCTTGAAGACACAGCCTGGGATGTTGAGAAGTGCCCTAAGCACTGCTCAGTGGGTTCTAAGAGAGGGTATGGCCAACTTTTAGAAATGCTTGTTCCTGCTTTCTTTTCTGGACAGTTTTCTTCTAAGACTCTCCTTTCCTAGGCTTCAGGCCTAAAAGCTCCAGAGGACATGTTCTAAATCCATTCTTCCCTCCAGTTTCCACGCCAGCAAGGCTCTAGGGAAGGGAGTCACAATCACCAATACAGATACTTACCTCGCATTCCTGGGGGAGGTGGCCGCATCCCTGGAGGGGGCATGCCCATCGGAGTCCCCCGTCCAGGGGGAATTCCCATTGGGGGACCCATGGGAGGCCTCATACCAGGAGGTGGGCCCATCATGCCTACAAATAAAAGGCCACAGAAGAGAGCTCAGGAGGGTTTTGAGAAGGCAGCAGGCGCCATAAAAGCTAACCATCAAGTGCTGAGACAGATGGGCCATTCCACCCTCCCAGCTTCTTTTAGCAAACTGGGATTTCAGCCAAAGAGCTGGAGCTCCCACTGACTCCTGTTCATGCCAATCAGCCGGCTGGATCTCAGAGTAATCCTGCTTAATTACACAACTCATCATCAGTTTCAGACAAGGTTACATCTCATCATAAATCCAGCTAGGGCAACGTGTTATCAATTAGCATGAGTCTCTTTCTGGGAGGCTCACCTGGAGGGGGTGCCCCTCGACCCATAGGTGGTGGAGGACCTGCACGGCCGGGTGGATACTGGGTCGGGGCCCCTGCAATACTGGCTGTGGCAGCGGCGGCAGCAGCAGCAACAGTGCCTCTTCCTTGGGGAGTCATCACCTAGGAAAGTGCAGTGTAATGAATCGCCCCCTGCTCTTCCCCATTTTGATAAAGAAACAGTAAAAATGCCAAACCCCCTCTTCTCAAGCTTTCATACAGCTTTAAACCCCCTATCCAAAAGCTCTGCCTAGAAAGATCAGGCTCGAATGCCCAATCTCCACCTTCTACACACATACCTCACACAAGGATCCAATTAAATGAGGAACCTACATTTTCATAGCCAACTGACAAGAGGGTCCCAAAACCCTCCCCAGAAAATTGATTCTGATAGTGACCTTATACAGGGTCTCCAAAACTGCACATCTTTACAGCAACGGCCAGCCTCCCCTTTCTCCAGCAGAGCAGCTGGGAGCTTTAAACTGCCTTGTGGTTAAGTTGCCCCAAATGTTGCTGTGGAATCACTTTGCTAACTGGCTGCTGTACATTTTTATGATCTCTTTATTTTAATACCGTCAGTATCATTATGAGGACAAGCCACAAAGTGTTGCTATTATAGACACTTTTATCAAACAAAAATATAAAAACATGAAACTATTGTTTCGACAGTCACCAGAAGTCCAGACATTTCTGAATGCTGTCTAACACCTCCCTGAAGAAGTAAGTCTGTGCTCTCCACTGATACCAGACTGAAAGGATAATTTGGGGATCCTTGAGGGACTCAAACAGCTGTTCCTTTACACTGTTTCCAGTTGGGGGACAAAAAGTCTTAAGGGCAAGATCAGGGCTGGAGGGTGGAAGGCTAAGGTTTCCCAGTGAAAGTCCCTCTGTGTGGTGCTCACAGAAAGAGACGGCACTCGGCAAAGGCATAAAATGCCTCCACATGACTTCCCTGGCCCCTTTCTCACCTACTCGGCTTCAATTTCCTGAAAACTTCCGAAGAAGTAGTCATCCTGTATCCTTTAGGAAAACCTATCAAGATTATCCTTTGGAATCCCAAACTACAGCTGCCACAACCTGAGCTGACCGCTGCTGTGACGTGAACTGGCCCAGGGGATACCCTTGAAGGTTCTTTGACTGGACCTTGTTCTTGGGATTGTATTGGTAAATCCAAGACTCATCCCTGCTGAGAAAACTGTTATATAAAAGCACACCCCCCTTTGTTTCGATCCTGTTGAACCAGACTGGTGGTGCCAATCTGAGCTAACTGGTCTTCTCACTGTGCTTTTGGCATCCATCAAGCCAAAATGCTTGCTCAAAACAGAAACTGCCAAACTGTGAGACTCACAACTTCAGTACTATTGCAGCAACTGGAATTCTCGTCTACTTCAACCAGCTTCTACCTACATTTGTCCAGGTTGACAATCTTCCACCGACTCACCTCTGGGTTCTTCCCAGCCTTCCTTAAAATACTTACTCCATCCCCAAACTGTCCTATAAGCTTGTTACAAAGTTCCAATTATTTGGGGGAAATGTCCACTTGCATTTGGTTAAGAATTTTACATTAGCCGTCATCTTGAAATAGGTTTTCCCATGGCACAACAAATACCTTTTTCTGAAGGTGCTTGAATGAGCCTAAGACAAGCGTATAACTGAGATAACTTGTGTGCAGTTTCTAATGATGGCAGAGAAATGTTTAAACACAGCTTGTTTGGAATATACCTATGCATGCTTAAACTGGAACCTTTATAGCAATACTCTGTGACTCACCTTTGTATAACGACAAATTTACCTTTTCACAGTTGATACTAAAGGCCACAAACAAAATACAAAGAAATACTGAGAGCCCGAAAGTCAAAGGATGGTCATTCTGGTCACTTCAAAAACTGGAGGCCCTCTACGGCCTCTTTCAAAGACTACAGGTTGGTACTTCCCCCAACTCACCTGCTGGGACGGACCACCAACTCCACGGACTGGACCAGCAAGTCCTGCAGGAGCTTGGGGCATTGGAACACCCGCTGGAATTCCTCTGCCAGCTGCCCTCCCGATCCCTGGGCCTCCAGCAGCTCCAGCAAGTGGGACTCGGGCAATGCCGGTCTGAAAAAGAAAGCAACCTGCTTAGATGCTCAGTGGTCTTGAGAACTGGAAGTGCAAGGGGGCTCCAGCCAGCTCATGGGGGAAATGGAATTAAAAGATGTGGGAAAAATATTCGCATGCACTTTGGAAATACCATTTCATGCTTACAGAGCATGAAAATCGGCTCTCTCCACCCATTTGTGCTAAAACCACTATTTCTCTTCTGTATAAGGTTCTGTGCCTAGCAGTCACCAAGAATCAGCCTAGAAGAGCCTGGTAAGTCTACAGAAGCATGCCTCAACTCAACCACTTATGTGCATGCCTATGAAAATCAAGGCAGGAGCAAAGGGCCAGGGCCCCCATTCAAATGGTGCAGTTGATAAGCATTAAACCTAATAAAGAGACAAGTTCAGTGCCGGCTTTGACCCTCATTGGCCAAGTGAGCATGAGTAAATTAGCCCAAGAGGCTCCGACAGTTTTCCTGAGCTACAAAAGATGTGGTTATGGCGAAAATCATACAGGATCATAATGGGCTTCAAATAAATTAGCCAATTCATACTGGAAATAGGTACCACGTCTCATAATGAAGGCTATTGCTTTGAAGCAGAAACATCTGAGAGCATTCCTTTCAGTATGTGTCATGAGAAAAACTGCAATGTAAACCCTAAACCCACTGCCACTGCGTCCATTCTGCCTCAGAGAAGGAATTCCTCCTTGGGGTTTTTGGAGATTCAATCTGTGTAAGTGCCCAGACTCTTCTGGGTTTGAACCCAAGCCTGTTACCAGAGGCTGCCTGTGAGGAAACAGAGATCCCAACACCGAGCCTCAGAGGGCCTCCCGGAAGGCGCCCTGGCCTCTCACTGGCACCCTGTGCTGACTTACATCTTTGGGAGGAGGCCCCTCCACCGTCATTGAGACCAGGTTCTCTCCTCGAAGCAGCACCAGGCCAAGCACTCGCTTCTCTTCTCTTTCTGCTTGCTTAGAGTTCTTCGGCCTGAAGAAAGATTTAGAAGAAACAAAAAAACACAAAGTCAGAGAGAAAGGAAAGTTTGGCCCCACCTGCTAAGGAACATCCAGATTTGCTCTTCACATCTCTTGACCAAAGAACACTCACTACCACTGTGATTCACAGCCACCCCATCAGACAAGGTAGAAGAGCCCCTTTGTGTTTATGACACTTTAAATCTTTATGGAAGTCGACACGTTCCTCTTCTTCCCATGGTGAAGCTGGTGGGATCGAATCTAAGGTCTTTTGACTAGCAGCGCAGTGCATAGCCCAAGACGCCATCATCTTTCCGCAAACTGACTTGGCAAGAGCTCTATGACAGCTCTATGACGTCACAGGACCTGGTTCTTTGGTTTAGGAGGTCTGTCTAGTCACGGCGTCACGAGAATCAGGTTAGTGCTTCTGTTCTACCTCCTGGTTGATCGTGTAGAGCCTGGGGTCTTCAAAGCTTGCAAGTGGCCAGCCATTGGTCTCCTTATATTTGGAACATCAGAGGACGATCAGGAACAGGAGGAGAACATGGAATAGGTGGCAAACTGTCTCCATGAACTGCCTCCTTTCTTCCGAGACTGGAAGAACTGCATGGTAACCAGAAGCCAGTAACGACCATTCTGATCAAAGATTCCATCTCAGAATCCTGCTCAGAAGGGGGAAACGCAGAATAAAACTCCTAATTCTGTGGACTCCAAACTGACTTTTTAGAGCCATAAAGGGTAACTGAACCCCTAGAAACAATTGCCACCAGATGTTTAACCTCAAAATAAAAATATTCCCACAAGTCATCTTAAATCCAAACATTACTTCAGCCTAACTAGTTACAAAAAAAAGGTCTACCTTGAGCATCATGCATTTATACAAACTATTTACAACGGACGAAATTAACAGTGACTTGAAAGATTAGACAAACCTTAAAGCACAATGAGTTCATGGTAAGGAAGGTGGAACAACTCAGAAAAAAGTGACTGATTGCATAACTTGAAATATAATCAGTGTCACTGAACTGCGTATTTACAAACCGTTTAATTGGTATACGTTTTGCTATGCAGAGTCTCAACAACAAACTGGGGGGTGGGACCCAGCCCTGGCTCAAGGCATTCACACAGCATCCTCTTCCATCTGTCAAGTTTTCTTTGCTGTCACTGTAACTTCCTGTTCGCATAAATCGAAATCCAAGCCCAACCCACTGCTACTGAGTTACTCCCAACTCCTAGTGAACCTTTATGGGTTTCTGACACTGTAAGTCCTGACAGAAGCAGACAGACTTGTTTTGCTCCCATAGAGCAGCTGGGGGTTTAAACCAGTGGCCGCCAGTTAACCGTCTAATGCTTCTTAGACAGGGGCCCTCCTTCAGCATACTCACTCACTGCCACCGAGTGGATGTCAGCTCATAGCAACCCTCTCTGGTGGCAGCACGAACAATTAATTTCCAAGCCACCAAACCCAATTCCACGTTACGGCCTTCTAGTACCAAGTCAACCCCACAGGCCTATACTGCTCCTCACATCAGAGAGAGAAGCCATAAACGAAAGGGCAACTGACTGCACGAAGATAGCACAGCTGCTCTGCTGACACAGCCAGTCCAGGAAAACCAGGGCACGGGTGAGAACTGGAACCACCGAACGTGACGGGCACACAGACCAGACGACAAAAAGGAAAGACAATGCCAACACGCCCAGTTTCAAGAAAGGTATCTGAAGGTCTCATTTTGATATTTTCTATTAATGGTAGATTGTGCTACTTCGGCATTTGGGGCCTCTATTTTTGGCTTATGTGTATTTTGAATTTCTAAAATATGAGCAGGCATCATCCTTTTCATTACAGAGAAACTAAAAAGCCCTTCTGGGAATTTAATTTTTTTTCTCATTAAGCCTTTCAATCTTTTAAAGGCATATTTTCCCATATTTTTTTTAAAAAGAAATCAACTTTATGTAAGAAACATAGGAGACTTTGGGGAGTAGTTCTACATTGACGTCCAACCTGCCCAAGGTGTGGCTGGCACTGCACAGTCCATCCCTACAGCATCTCTGCCCTGTACCCCATGGTTTAAAGCCACAGAAGAAACCGCGCGCCCAAAGGGAATCAAAGGGGTTCATCACCACAGTATGTAATGCAATCTCTTTGGGCCTCCACATACCTCAGATTGATAGAGGTTAGACTATCTTTGAATGAGCCTGCAGCTCAAGCTCTGGGAATCTTTGGGCAAGAGAGCCACCCAGTGACTTGGGAAATTGTAGTAAAGTAGAAAATGTCTCCCAGCATTTTTATAAATTCCAACAAAAATCGTGACCACAAACCCACTGGAGCAGCTCAGCACTTACGCTGAAGAGGGTCAAAGGCGTCTTAAAGAAGTTTCAGACCAGGCTGCAGTGGGAAAGCCTATCAGGCTACAGCTTTACAAAGAGGCACTGAGGTCAAAAAGCCAAGCTCTCCTCCCCCTTACACACCTGTGGGGAGAACATGAGAACCCTTTATCCCAGTACCCAGGGGCAGCCAAAGTAGAGAGAGGGGAAAAAAACCTGCCAACCCCCTTACAACTTTTACTTTATAAGATTTAGAACACAAGACTGGCTGGACTAAGGTGAATTTTTTTGTGGCTGATGTCCTCACATAAAGCTGCCCTCAAAAAAGAGAGCCACGGGGAGGAATAGGCTGGCTACATCAACACCTGTCACCTGGCCCACCCACTCAACTTCTTCCTCCCCAGTGCCACTGATTCACCCCTGCCCCAGTTTCCTCCTCACTTGATCTTCCGGAACTCATCACAGTCACAGAGGATCAAGTTCATGTGTTTGTCGAACGCCTTGAAGGTGCCAATGAAGATGCGACCATCTTGCAGGATGCACCTCATCCTGTAGTCGATGTGCTGCAGCATCTTGCTGCTCTTGCCGACCGTCTGCAAAGAGAAACCAGCAGAGATGAGTCTCCAGTGGGTTTTGATCCACACCCCCTCAGCGCTTCCTAAACTTCGGCCATGCCGTTTTTTATCCACGGATCTATCTTTCTTGACAAGTCTCGGCTTTTCCTGCCACCCCTCCCCTGGAATTCTTGTATGCCAACTGGTTTTCATGCTAGATCACTGCCCGCTGCTCTACTATTCTCTTCCTTAAAACCAGTTTCTCATAGGTTATAACTGCCTTAACACGGTACTATGAGTCCAAATCAAGTCACTGGTCGCGAGTTTGAGGTTTGTATTTGGGGGGGCATTTTGTGCCATGGTTTTCTGGAGTGAGAATAAACAGGATCCCCAAACTAATCAAACCCACCCAAACTAGAGACAAAGGCATGTGCCACGGTGCAAGTTATAGTGTGTGGCAAGTGCTCTGGACAACCAAATCCCATTAAAAAGACCGAGCAAAGGAGAACTGGGATGGTCCTTAAGGAGGCAGAAATTTAATCATCAAGAAGCTTGACATCAGAAAAGAGCTGACACTCCTAAGAGGCAAAAACATGAGAACTTCTCAATTCAAGAATTTGTTATTGTGCCTCCAAGCCTGCCTCTGGGTGAGGTAAGCTTTCTAAGGGCCAGGGTGCTAGTCAATTGAATATACAATGGCCTTTATGAATACTGTACATACTAGCGTATACGCCGAGTTTTCCAGCACATTTTTATGCAGGTTTTGTGGCAAAACTAGGTGCATCGGCTGATAGTCGGGTTGGCTTATACTTGAGTATATACAGTAGCTTTGTTTTGTTATACAGTTGACCGTGAAAAACACAGATTTTAACTTCCTGATACTATTTTGGTGAGTTCTGAGTATCCACTTAAGAGGCTGAGTGTTGCTAATTATGAGCAGTTTGTCTCTCCTCAGGCAAAAGTGAAATACTAGCAGTATTTGTGCCCACTGTAATAGCGACAGGGGGGAAATCTGCATGTCAGTGGTCCCACACAGCTGAAATCTGTTCAAGGCTCAATGCATATAACTTTGCCACAAAAGGAAAGAATAAAAAACAAAGAACTTGCTACACCTATTTCTAAATTAGCCCAATCATCATCAGGTCTTATCCAATGTAGCTTTGATAAAATAAAAGTCTTTGTGGCAATTACACAATTCTTTTAAATACATTTAACTGTTGAATTGTATGGCATGTAACTTCTATGTCATGAAATCTGTTAAAAAAATTTTTTTAAATAAAATTTTACCCTGATGATCCCAATGAGAGCCAAGGGCTCCAGGCAGTTGTATTTCTCTCCAGAAACACATGGCCTAGCATTTGATCTGCACACCAGCCTCTAACAGTCTGAATGAGGTGGCCCAACGCTAACTCATCCAATTATTGAGTGAGTGCCCCCTCTATACCAGGCTCAGGCAAAGGCAAGTTTCAAATCTATAAATGTATAGAATGTATACATCAGAACCCTGACTCTGCCAGTCCCTCTCCCATCCTGAAGGCCGCTGGGGATGTGCTTCTTCAGTTACCCCCTTCTGGGACTATTCCCACCAGAACGAGCTGAGCCTTTGTGGAAACATTCAGTGATCCTTCCACCGTGTATCACGAAAAACACCGATCATTCGTTGTCTCACCTACTCTTTGTCATGGATCCGTGATGAATTAATTCTACTTTAGAGGTGAAGGCTGGGAGGGAGTACAGGCGATTTGGCCTGTCTCACACATGGGAAACAGGGCCCAAGTAGTATGCCTTTCTTTCCAGCAAAGCTCTAAACAATGTCCCAACAGGTTCCCACCTTCCAGCCTCACTCACCCCTGACGGAGCAGCTACAGTGGCTTTCCCCAGGGCGTTCGTTCATACCAGCGTTGGTCCAAACCACTTTGTGACATGCTCCATCACAAGGATCAAGAATAGCACACAGGTCTTCATGATCCAGTCTCTGGCTAAGACCACCCTCCTCCCTCCTTTCCACTCCAGGAACTCCAACCTCAACCACGCCCCATTGTATCCATCCTTCTATCTATAAGAATATCCATCCTTCAGGCACCCGCTCAAGAAGCCTCCACCACAAGAACCGTGCCCCGCCCCTCCATCCACGCCGTTCCTTTGACCTAACCCTAAAACACCGCACTGCACTGTGATGTTGTGTCCCAAGGCGGTAAATAGACTTGGTTCTGCAACTCAAGAGTCCGGAGCACTCAAGACGGAAACACATAAACGCTGAGCAAGTTCAATTCGCCTTCCAAGCATTCTCAGTCACCGCCCGTTGCCTCTTCCCCATTCATTGGACCAAGGAAGACTCCGGTTTTCGGCCACAAGCTCCACTTCCCCCTCTCTCTGCAGCCCACCCCAGCTCGCTGGTCTTTTTCCTAAGTCCGAGCCTTTTCTTAAGTCCACCAAGGCATTCCCTGCGATTCTACTGCCTGGGCATACAACTACCTATTCAGCAAAAGCTTATTTAGTGCCCACTGGGTGCCTGGCACTGTAGCTGGGGACGCGGTGCTTCTCTCGGCCCCGCCGAGGGTCCCGAGCGATCACCCCTGATTCTGGCCTTCCCTTTCATCCCCGCCCAAGGACCCGGATACGGGTGTCTTCTGCCCAGACCAAGCTGCGGCCTTCACCGCCTTGCGGGGCGCCAAGCCACCGTTTCCACCCGCCATCTCTGCAACACACACAGGAGACCCCAAGCTACCGGCCCGCGAACTCTTACCATGGTGGCGGTTCTGATGGCTCAGATTCTCCCCGGATTCGCCTCAGCAGAGGCCTAGACGGCCCTCAAGAATCGGATTCCCGCCGCCGCTAACGGAAATACAGCCTCCGGCAAAAGGCGCTCGGGTAACGCTACTTCCGGTCCTGGCTACCGGAAATGCAGCCTTCGGCAAAGGCGCTCGGGTAACGCTGCTTCCGGTCCTGGCTACCGGAAATGCAGCCTTCGGCAAAGGCGCTCGGGTAACGCTACTTCCGGTCTTGGCGTAGCTTACTTCCGGTCCCGGTGTTTGCTTACTTCCGATCCCGGCGCTTCCGTTCCGTACTCTGCTGTTTTGGAAGCTTAGCGGGGGGCCTTGGGTTCTGCGCGCTAACATCCAACCATTCATCTTTCAGTTTTACTGAGAGCCTTGAGATCCTCTCGGGACACCTTCCCTCCTTAGATCCGTGTACGATCTGCTCCGCCCCCTGCTTACCTCCCTTTCTTCACCTCCCAAGCCTATACTTCTTCCTTGTCCTCTAGCCACATTGTGTCCCTTGCATTCCTTTGAACATCTTGAGATTCTGACCCAACTCGTTGATCTTTGCTGTTGGTGAGCCTGTTACCTAGGCATGGCATTGTTCATGCCTCAGCTCCTTCAGAACTTAAGCTCAAATAACAGTGCCATGCTTATCCCATTGAAAAGCAACCCTTTGCACCCACCGCAGCTCCTATCCCAGCTTTATTTTTCTCCTTAGATTTGTCATCTGAACACTCCAACAGAAATCCGGTAGTAGGCTGTGGGAGAAATATGTGGCAGTAGGTTTTGCGACAGGAAAGTAAGCTGGATTCTTCCACCCCTTTTCAAACTCGGGTGACTTTAAGGTTACGTCCCCAAGCCAACCACACCTGCGCCCAGTTAACTTTAAACGTGATGGCATTTTACAGTAAACTATGTCATTTTAAATTTCATCAGAAAGTCACAGGGATGGTTCTACCCTGCCTTAGAGGATCTCTGAGCCAGAATTGAATAGATGGCAGTGATTTTAGTTTGGAGTTTTGCAGGATTTTTTTTTTTTAGTTCCATTCCTTTGCCCTGAAGCATTCAGCATTTGGCCAGCTCAGAGTGGACACATGAACACGAGTAGACCAGCTATCTGTAATCTCAAGCTAAACCCAAAGCAAGATCATCCCAGCACACTTGGATCTGAGGAACTGGCTACCCAGCACATGTGTATCATTCCATAAGTGGAGGTGCCCCACCCAAAAGCTTTTGATGTAGATTCCATTTGGAACTTGTGGGGCACACCCAAATTAATGTAACCCGTGGATTCAATTCCCAGAATTCTCCACTTTCATAAATACACATCATGTCCTTCCCCTTTAAACTCCATTAAAAACCTCTTCTCTTCATTGTTAGGAGTCCTGGAGGTGTAGTGGTTCTGCATTGGGTTGCAAGGTCAACAGTTCACTACCAACAACTCCACTGGAGAAAGATGAGATGTGGCTTTCTAGTCCTCGGAGAGTTCCTGTCTCTGAAACCCACAGGGCAGTGCCACCCTGTCACCATGAGTTGGAAGCGATTTGATGGCAATGAGATTTCCCTTTCTTTCATCCTTTGTTCAGCGAGATGTGGTCTGTGTGGCATTGGGCCCCTCCATGACTCACCTTGCCAGGTGCCTCTCGATCCAGTAAGCTTTTCCACATCTCCCTTTGCAAGGTGCTTCTCTCATCTTTTGGCTTGCTCCCTAAACTTGGCTCCCTGCTTTATTTGCAAGGAACCTTGCAAGCTTACTCCTTTAGCAGTTTCTGTAAATATTACAACCTTGGTTATCCACAAGGAGCACTATTGGCTTAATGGATTAGGTATTGTACTGCTGACAGCAAAGACAGCAGTTCAAACCCACTGGTCATTCCACCAAAGAAAGATGGTGCTATCTGCCCCAATAAAACCCTAAGGGGCAGTTCTACTCAGTCCAAGTAGCAATCAATTGACTCCACTGCACAGAGGAACACTAACTATTTTTATTTTATTTATACCCACACACTAGAATCTAAGTTCCACAAGGGCAAGGATTTTTGCATATTGCCCACAGTTACATTGCCAAGTCCCCAAGGTGAACTTTCAACTTTCTCCTCCATTCATTATGCTGCTGCCACACTGATCTTAGCATTGGGCTCTCATTAAGGACAGCAGTTCAAACTCATCAGACACCCTGAGGGGAAAAGATGAGGTTTGCTGCTCCCATAAAGGTTAAGAAACCTTCCAGCTCACTGAGTTGAAACTGACTTGATGGTGGGGGGGAGGGGGCTGTTTGTTTTCAGTTACCCTCCAGTTCTTCATCTCCGCTCCCAGACCGCTCCTCAGAGAGGCTTTTCCTGACCATCAGCCAAAGCGGTCCCCCATCACTCTCAGCCCTGGTTCCAGCTTTTTCTTTTCTTTTTTCATGTCAATTATCACTTTACTCTTACATTGTCTCCTTCCTCATTTGGTTCCTGGTCCATCAATCCTAAGAGGGAACAAGGAGCCCTGGCTGCCAACCAAGAGATCAGTCATTCACTCACCGACTGCTCCGTGGGAGAAAGTCTGTATCCATAAGGATTACAGAAACCTTAAGGGGGCCGTTCTACTCTGTCCTGTAGGGTCTCTGGGATACAATGAATTCTTGAATGTGGGTTTTCTACCCATAGTCTCTGTAATTCCCACCAAACAACCCTTTCTTGGTGGGTCTGGGTGAGGTAAGGTGGGGGAAAACACAGACAGGATTCAGTTGTGACTGTTAACAGGGTTAACAATTTTGTTAACAAAAAAACAAACTGGCTGCCATCGAGTCAATGCTCATAGAGATCCCCTGTGGGTTTCTGAGACTGTGATTGTTCATGGGAGTGAAAAGCTCAGTCTCTCTCCCACCAAGCTGCTGGTGGTTTCGAACTGCCGACCACGTGGATCGCAGCTACATGTGTAACCACTACCCCAGGGCTCTTAATTTATATTACATGTAAGTAAAATGTTGCCCAAGCTAGTTAGAAATGGTTGTAGCAGTACATAGACAGGGAACTTGGATTTCCAGGCCAGATTCAAGAGGCGGTGGAAGGAAGGCTATTACTGCTGATGTCAGGGGGATCTTGGAGGAAAGCAGAGAACAGCAGAAAGGTGTATAAAAGGAAAAAAACTGAAATGAAGTGTGTCTTTCTTCCAAATTCTTGCCCATGCTCCCTGTCCCTGGACAGCTTCTGTTCTTTGTCCTCTGGCGTGTGAGGCGGGACTTGCAGTTAAAACAATGGCCACACTCACTACAAACAAAACTTCTCAAAGGCATGTGTCTTCTGATGTCTGAGGAGGTTTGATTCTAGAGAAAGCAGAGTTTCCCAAACTCATTTAGCCTACCAGACTTACATTTTCTTCTCGTCTTCAATGCCCCAAGACTACTGGCAATCCCCCTTACCGCCCACCCCACTCCTGATTGTTCCAGAGCCCCACCGGGGGCAACAGCGTGGGAATCACTGGGCTAAGCCTCAGCCACACGCACTGTAATCACAGGGTTTGCTCTAGTGAACCCGCTGATGTCCAATGAGGTTTTGCTTAATCCTGAAGTCTTGCCCGCACTGCTTGCACACATAGGGCTTCTCCCCGGAGTGTGTCCTCTGGTTCAGAAGGAGGCCTGACTTCTGGGTAAAGCCTCGGCCACACACACTGCATACATGTGGCTTCTCCCCCGAGTGTGTCCTCTGGTGAATGATGAGATTTGAGATGCGGCTAAAGTCTCGGCCACACTCCTTACATGCATATGGCTTTTCCTCTGAGTGTGTCCTCTGGTGCAGAAGGAGGACTGACTTCTGGGTAAAACCTCGGCCACACACACTGCACACATGTGGCTTCTCCCCGGAGTGTGTCCTCTGGTGTCTGATGAGAAGTGATATGCGCCTAAAGTCTCAGCCGCACTCCTGACACGCATATGGCTTCTCCTCTGAGTGTGTCCTCTGGTGCATAACCAGGCCTACTTCTGGCTGAAGCCTCGCCCGCACTCCAGGCACAAGTACGGCTTCTCCCCGGAGTGTGTCCTCTAGTGTGTGATGAGATTTGACTTGCGGTTGAAGCCTCGCCCACACTCCTTACACACATGTGGCTTCTCCCCTGAGTGTGTCCTCTGGTGTCTGAGGAAATTCGACTTGAAGGTGAAGCCTCGCCCGCACTCACTACAAATATAGGGTTTCTCCCGGAAGAGGGACCTCTGCTTTGTGATGAGCTTTGGTTTCAGGCCACAGTCTGGTCCATCCTCTGCAGAGGTGAGTGCTCCAAATCTTGAGGTTTCGAAGTTCTTCAACCCCTTGTCTGTTTCCACAGAGCTCACCCTTGGGGCTGAGTTGGGCCGTATTCCTACCACTGTGTTGCCTTCTCTGGGGCTTCGTGAGGGTCTCTGGGGTGGCCTGGAGAATGCCCTTGACATCTCTCTCTCCCACAAACGTGTCGAGACATCTTCTCTCTCTGTGTTCCCACTCCTGCAGCTCTGAGGAGACTCCTGCTGCTCCAGCTGCTTCTGAGGCCCTGGGCTGGACCCCCAAGGATGGAGGTGATGTTCTACACAGAAGCCTGGGAAGAGCTGACGCTCACGCTGGCTGAGGAACTGCTGACAGGAGAGAGTCAGGAGGCGGGAGGCAGAGGGGTCGATTCCTGGCTCTGGATCTGCTGAAGAGAGAGTCTTCCATTAGCATAGCCATAATGGGTTGGCTGGGCTGTTCCGCCTTCTCTTAGGACACATATTATCTTACTGGTGGAGCCACCGGTGACAACAACAGTGAAAGTGCTTGCCCCCCAACTGAAACGGACAAGGCTGCTAATCTGCTCCCCAAAGGCCACAGCCTTGACATCCCTACTGAACAGTTGGAGTCACTGAGCATTAGGATGCACTCAATGGCAAGGAACAACGCAATGCTTCTCACCAAGGATTCACTTATATAACATTTCTACAAATGCCGTGCACATGGGAGCCCTGGTGACACAGTGGTTAGAGGACTTGACCGCTAACTAAAAGGTCAGTGGTTCCACAGGGGAAAGATGTGGCAGTCGGCTTCTGTGAACCCTTACAGCCTTGGAACTGCACCCTATGGAGCAGATGTCAGTTTGGGTGTTATACTACAGATGATCCATAACCAAGCCCTACAGTATGCTAGCCCGGCTAGAGACTGGCTTCTGCCTGGCCTACGGCTTCTACTATGGTGAGCCCTTTTCTTCTGCTAACCCCTCTTTTCAATCACCTCGCATGCATGTGAGGAATGGATGGGCTGGATGATGGGTGCTGGCAATGAATACTGAATGTACTACAACTGCCCAAAGAAGTTTGGCAGTTCCTGTCTGGGAGAAAGTACAGCCAGAATGCTTGTTAGAAGCCAGGATGGCAAAAGTGTTATCAGGAGGAACCAGTCCCTGGAGCAGGACACCCTGCTTGGTGAGTGAGTAGAGGGTCAGTGGAAAAGAGGGCCCTCCACAAGCTGGAATGAAACCATGGTGGCAACAATGGGCTCAAGCCTGGCAGAGATGGTGAGGGTGGTGCAGGATCAGGCAGTGTTTAGTGCTGGTGTCCACAGGGTCCTACAAGGGGGCACTGAAAAAAAAAGAAAAATGCTCCACTGAGGGAGCTTTCATAGTACACGTCCCATTAGGCGAGCATTGAGCAACTCACTCTGAGTTAGTGCACCCAGTGGCATTGCCTGGGAAGGTTCTCTCTGGTCACTCATAATTGGAAACCATTTCTATGATCAATGTGGAAATCTCCTTCATGACTTTTCTTATTACAAAAGGGGATTGATAGAAAAAGTCACTTAGGGTGACAGCCTTCCCAATGTAGGATACAGGATATACATGAAAATGACAACAACAACAACAAAAAGAAAATGGCATCTAAACTTGTCCAACACAGGGGTGGGGGTGGGGAAGAGGAATAAGGATCAGGATCAGCCCAAAGTGGATTCCCATTGATTCCAACTCCTAAGTGAACCTAAACAAACAACCAAACTCACCTTCAAGTCGATTCTGACTCATAGTGGCTCTATAGGATAGGGTAGAACTGGCCCCATGGGCTAACTCATAGCGGCTCTATAGGACAGGGTAGAACTGGCCCCATGGGCTGACTCATAGCGGCTCTATAGGACAGGGTAGAACTGGCCCCATGGGCTGACTCATAGTGGCTCTATAGGACAGGGTAGAACTGGCCCCATGGGCTGACTCATGGTGGCTCTATAGGACAAGGTAGATCTGGCCCCATGGGCTGACTCATAGCGGCTCTATAGGACAGGGTAGAACTGGCCCCATGAGTTTCTGAGACTGTAATTCTTTATGAGAGTAGAAAGCCTCATCTTTTTCTGGTGGAGCAGTTGGTGATTTCAAACTGCTAACCTTGTAGCTGGCTGCCCAACAGGTAACCTAATACATCACCAGAGCCCCTACTCATAACTCATAACTGAATGTAGTAGATTCACGGGGCCCTTCTAGTCATAATTTCTGATGTGATGTATTACAGTTCTGAACTGTGTGTCTGAGGCTATATTCCCATTTTGGAGGGTGTCCTCTGCTATACAAATGGACAGGATTAGGGTGTGACTGCAGTAGAAGGTGCAAACCAAGCAAAATCCTTTATTTCCCTGGGGGCATCTTTAAGATCACTTTAGTAAAGGCTGTGACTTAAAACACCATCCTTCATTTTCCTTGTGGGTATATGGTTAAGTGAAAGACAGTCCCGCCCTGATCAAACCACTTCTCAATATAGGAACACCTGGGATACAGAGAAAAATCACGGGGACATTTGGAAGGGCACCTCCAAGACTTCTGTCTGAAGTGGCAGAGGCTGCAGGGACTAGATGAACCAGAGACTCAGAGGAGCAGCAGCAAGACTATCCTGCTAGGCCGGCTCCTTATCTGGCCTGAGGCTCTGAGACTGGGAGACAGAGCTGCCTGGCCCACAGAGGCAGAAGCCAAAGAACCACGTGGCTGAGAGGCTGGGGACCAGAACAAAGTTTGGTTTCTGGCATAAAAGTGTTGCTGAGGACCAATGACTGTATCCTTACTGTTTGCTGATCCTGACTCGTGGCGACCTATTAACTTCCCTAAAATATCCCCTTAATTGTGAGTGTTGTCTGTGAGTTCTCCGTGGCCCCTGCATCGAATGATCCGAGCCGGCATCACAGCAGAGTGCCGTGGGAGATGTCAGAATAGGGAAAGAAGGATGGCGTGAGGAAGCATGTCTGACCCCTGCCTCGTGGCAGTAGGAAAGCCAGAGGAAGGCAGCGATAGCCTTGATGCCGCTTATGGCAATAACAACCTATAGGATAGAGTAGAACTTCCTCATAGCATTCCCAAGGCTGTAAATCTTATGGAAGCAGACTGCCACCTCTTCTCCTGCACAGTGCGTGGTGGCTTCACACTGCTGAGTGCTTCACCACGGTGCCACCAGGGCTCCTCTGGCACTTAGTAGGTGGTCAGTAAACACCTGCTGCATTATTATAAAGGAAAAAGAGAGTTTATCCTCACCCAAGGAGAGCAGATCCCTGTACACCTCCAGCATGACTTCTCTGTGGAGGTTCTTCTACTCAGAGCTCAGCCTCTCCCATTCGGCCTCCGTGAAGACCACTGTGACGTCCTCGAATGTCACCGGCTCCTGGAATAAGGAATGATTCAATGCTCAGCACAGCACCATCAACTTCCCCATCGAGAGGCGTTTAACTGGTGGTCCTAGAGTTTGGATCTGAAGAAGCTCATCAATTTCCACAGATTTTATCACAGAGCCAAGCAGGTTAACGGTCATGTCCAGGAGAATTGAAAGTGTTAAGCACTGGACTTTACCTTAAATACATCTGTTCCAGATTAAAAAACCCACTGTCATCTCATCGAGTTGGTGCTAATAGCCACTGTATAGGTGTGGGTTTCCGAGACTGTAACTCTTTAAGGAGCAGAAAGCTCCATCTTTCTGCCAGGGAATGGCTGGTGGTTTCGAACTGCTGACCTTGCAGTTTGCAGCCAGACGGGCAACCACTATGCCACCAGTTGCAGATTAAAGGAACTGAAATGCTCCTTTGGACTTAAAGCAGTAATTCAAGAAAGTGACGTTGGGAATGCATGATGAAAGAGCTAGACAGGTCAGACTAGAAAACAAAAGGCCCGATGGGGTTGGGTTTATGCAAGGCATAAAGGATGGTGTAGACTTAAAGGAGAAGATGGGAGGAAACTTCAACTGTAGAGAAAAGAGGGAGTGACGAGGTCAGTTAGCTAAGTGGGGTCTATAACATCACCACTTTTCTTTATGTATTTCAGTAACCTTTTCTAGTGAAGTCCCCAGCACGTCACCAATTATGTAAATCAGTACTTCACAGATGCAAAACACTTGGCAAAAAAAGGCAGTAACCCTGCACAAAAAGGACATTTACAGATAACAATATTTCAAAAGAAAAACAGACACTTTAGTTAAAGTGGAGTCGGTTCTGACTCACGGTGACCCTGAAGGATGGAGCAGACCTGCCTCGAGGGTTTCCACGGCTGTAGCACATATGGAAGCAGACAGTCGGAGCTTTCCTCACAGAGAAGGTAATAGGTTCCAATCACCAACCATTCCGTTAATGCCGAAATGCTTGGTCAGTTCAAACCACAGTTAACAGCCAAATGAATCCTTGGATGCCACTGTGACCTCATGCTAATGGTCTCTCCCATCTAGATATGTCTGTCTCTTTGTGTTAGTCTTGTCCCTGAAGACTTAATAAAAAAGTCACCTTGCAGTTGGCATCCTGAAGGGATACAGAAAAGCCCTTAAATTGTAGCCACTGTGTCAGAAGCTAGAAAGCCCAGGAGGTTTCCCAAGTTCATGGTTGGCATCTGAAGGGATAACCAACCCCCAAACCAAATGCATTGCCACCGAGTGGATGTCCAGTCAAAGTGACTCTACATGATAAGGCAGAGCTGACCCTGGGTGTCG